CTTATAGCATCCAAGTGAAAGATATAACACCAACATGTCAGAAAACACAACAGTTTTAAAATATGACCATGAGTCAGCAGACATTATTTATTTATTCTTCTCATTGCAGCTCAAGTGTGAGGGTAAAAAACTTTTATTGAGAAACTAGTTCAAAGGAAATGATGACTGTTTGGCTAAAGCCTTTAAAGTAACTAAAAATGCACAAGAAGAGTTGTGTGGAGGGGTTAGGGTGTTATCAGTGTATGTCTGTGGGTTTGTCAAACAGTGCTGTTTAGATGTCTGTTGTTGTGGCAGAAGTGTGAACATTTTTTTGCATTGTGACTAGGGTTGAGTAGTTGTAGGTAGTAGTGTTATAATAGTATAATAGCAGAATTTATATAGATCTGTGGATGGAACCTAAAATGTTTCTTATTCCGATTCGGTTTTATTTAAAAAAAAAACTTAAAAAAACGAATGCATGTGAATTCTTCCAAATTCTGTACAAAAGAATTGTTTCCTGCAAAAATATTACTTCAATGGCGCATCCAGTGTAGTTCAATTACAAATGATTCTAATGAGTTGGTTCTTTTTAGTCAGTCAAAAACAAAACAAAAATGTCACATGTATGTTTTATGGATAGTTTGATTTTTGTCTTCAGTGCCTTGCTTGACCTAGTTTCCCAGTGCGTGCATGTGATTATTGTATTCAGTTCACCTCTTGTCTATTAATTAGCCCATTAGTCTTTATTTGGTTTAGTATTTATATTCCCATGTTTCTTGAGTTCAGTGTCCTGTCTAACGTTGTGTTTTGGATGTGTTGCCAACCTGTTTCTCTGTATTGCTTGTGTAAGTTGGAGTTTCCTTAATTTCATCTTCATGAGCTCTGATTAGCAACATTGTGTGGCATAAAGCGTGTACAGTGTTTTCCGATTACAGAATGAAAGACTCTAAAGGTGATGATACATGGGGCAAATTTTTGAGCTATGTAATGACTAATGTGTGGGTAATTTTATGAGAAACCACAACTAACAAACTAGACATTTTGTATTAAGTTTTTTATAAATGCAAATGAAATGAAACTTTGTTTAGCACTGTTGTTTAATATAGTTAATGCCAATTATTGGATTTCATTAGTATAGTTTAGTTCAAAGAGTTACACAGCTTTGGGTGGGGTGCAAACTGCCTCTCTTTTGAGAAATGAGAAGATATGGTGTAGAATTTCTCTGAGTACTCTCAGGGTTTGCTCATTTCACCATTGATTCAAAAGGAGCATTTCTGAATTTGCATTTCACAATGTCACATCAATTCATTAAAGACTTTTAAAACGATGACCGTTTGAGAATTAGAAACGAGGAAGCAGTTCTTGATTCTATTCTGAACAGCTCAA